CCCCGCCCCGTCCCTTCTCACCTTTTCTCACCCTTTTCTTTCTCATGATCTCTCTTCTCTTTCTTCTTTAGAAATACCGGTAGACGTGTAAGAAAAAAAAAAAGAAAAAAAATAATAAAAGGAAAAGGATAGGAGGGAGGGAGGGAGGGTGGTTGGGGTAGAGGGGGGTTTGGGACCGGTTAAGAATGTCACTCGAGCGTTTAAATCGTGTCGAGCGTTTAATCGATAATGTGAAGGGTAAGCGTGCAAGAGAAAGAGGAGGAATAAGAGGAGGGTTGAAAAACTTAGGGGGAGGGGAAATAAATATATATATATATATATATATATGTATATGTATATTATAAACATATATGTAAAGTAAGCTGATGGGATTTGTAAAAGTAAATGCAAAACTTTTCGATGGTTTTATAATTAATAACGAATTGTTATAAATAAAAATAATAATATAAATTTTGATCACACACTATCATTGTCAAATAAAAAACGTTTTAAATCCCAATCGACATTATAATTCGGGATTCTCTTTTTTTTTTTTTTTTTATCAAATTGTCAAATATATTTTATAGAGAAAGAAAAAAGACATCACCCTGGTTAGAAAATAAAAATTGAATAATATACAAAATAAATTCTCTCTCTCTCTCTCTCTCTTTCTCTTTCTCTTGGTGTAAACAACCGTTTTAATTATGAAATTATCAACGTCACAGTGTTAATATTATTTTAATTATTTCTTTTTGTTATAAATTATTAATATTATTTTTTTTTATAATTTTTTTCTTCATTAAAATAATTAACAATATTTCTTTTTTTTTTTTAATGTTTTTAATTAATAAATAATAAAATGAAAAAAATATTGAACACTCTTAAATAGATTTTAAAGAAAGAGTATGAGAGATAATAATATTAAATGATATTTATTATATTATTAATGTATTATAAATAATAATATTGAATATTTTTAATTTATTATATATTATTTTAATATTAATAATTTTTAAAATAGAATAATCATTTTTAACCTGAAAATTAAACAACCAAGCAAACATACAAAAACAAACCTCACAGAGAGAATAATATTAAATAGTAATATATAATATTATTTAATATATAATATATAGTATATATAATGTAATATTATATTATATATATATTATTGTATTACATATCACTTTTTAAAATTGAAGCATACAAATATATAAACATTCAAACATACAAACGAATCTTCACCTAATTTTAAAGGTACAAGAAAGAAAGGACAGTTATAATCAAACAACAATACCATTATAATATTAATATTAACATTAGCAATAATAACAGCATCACCACCACCACCACCACCAGTAGCAACACAGTAACAGAAAGCAGCATGGTTTTGACAAGTTGACGAGTGTTGTTACGTCACATAAAGGCCAACTGATGATGAGGAAGGGGGTTGGTAGAGGAGAAGGGATATGCAGGAACAGTAAAGAAGTGTTTCTAGTAGGCGGGGGTGGGTGTTTAGATATGTAGGTAGGAGAAGGATGAGACGAGAAAAGAAGGGGTGGCTGGTGGTTGGGTTGTGAGGATAAGGGGGGGGGTGGAGAGGGTTGGAAGAGGAAACGTTCATCCATATAGCTGAAATCTATTCAGGACCTGGCTTTGGTAACAAGCCAATTCTATTTTCACGAGCGAAGGCGGCTCTTCGCATTGTACCTGCGCTAATTTCGTTACGCGCTTAGCCTCTCGACGCTTTACTCTTTTAAAATGTATATACATGTACATATATATATGTGTGTGTGTGTGTGTGTGTGTGGGTAGATGATGAATATGGTTGGTAGTATTAGGTAGGTAGATAGATATGTAGGTAGTAGTGTTATCCTCATACAAATACACTCCATTTTGTACATATAGGAGTACCAAGTAACAAATCTTTTTTACATTTATTCTTTGACACCCTTATTTTTGTATTTTGGTTCCTCTTTTTGTTTTTTTTTTTTTAATATCGTTACATAAATTAAGGTTTCATTTAATCATATTGTCAGTTGCTGTTTGTTTGTTTGTTTTATTTTTTTAATTTTATTTTAATTCTTAACACTCTTACATATTTGAATACAATTGTAGGTTTATGTGTGTATACTTGAAGTATACGAAAAGCTTGCTACTTGTCACTGTTGTTGTTGTATCGTCGTCGTCGTCGTCGTCGTCGTCGTCGTCGTCGTCGTCGTCGTCGTTGAAGGTACTTCGTTGCTTGAAAAATAAAAGGCACACACATCTATCGATCGCAAAAGCTTCTATTTCTGTCGTAGCCAGCCACGTTACGTTACTTGCTTGTTCATTCGTTCGTTCGTTCGTTCGTTTCGTTTTGCACCGACGAAGAAACGGACGGAACATTCTGCCATTGTTTACTCATCTAATCCCTCAAACCACCTTACTCTTACCACCATCCCCTAGGAGAACATATTTTTTATATGAAATATAATACGTGTTCGTTTCTTCCCCATTTTTCTTTTCACGTGTTTCATTAAAAAAAAAGAAAACTATATATTATGAAAATGTTTAATAGATTTTTTCTCTACAACCCTTCTCACCATCCCCTAGGAGAACATGTTTTTCTTATGAAATAAAAACAAAAATATCCGTTACTTTTTTCTCCATTTTTCATTTGCCACGTGTTTCATTGAAAATTATTAGTAATTTTGATTTTTTTTTTAATTCTCTCGAATTCATTTTGTTGTCGTTTCAATGAATATTCAAATTGTTCGAATTTGTTAGGGAACGTGAGTCGTGAGTTGCCATTTTATTTCTACGATCAATATTTTAAATATCGAAACGATTCTGAAAGTAACGAAATTACGAAGGAAGGTAGAATATACGATAATAATTCGTTTTGCAAAATAACTCTATACGATTGGGTCAAACAAACAAGTTTATTATTAACCCTTAGAGTGCTATGGACGCATATATGCGTTTGATAAAAATTATCAGAAAGTATAGAAAAAGGTAAAATAAAATTAGATACAAAATTATTCAGTAAAATAACGTAAAATACAAAAACAAAGTATTGTCCTGTGAATGTGCGGGTTGATTTTCATGAAAGATTGAGAATGCAATCCCATTTAAGTTTTATTTTTTGTGATATATTTACTACATAATAAATATAACTATATATATTAATAATTATGTAAATAATATAATAATTTTATAATTTCGTGCTATCAGAACTTTTCAGGTTTTCTTAACAAAAGAACTTTTCAGATTTTTTTAGCAAAAGAGAACTTTTCAGGTTTTTTTAGCAAAAGAACTTTAATGCAATTTAGAAATTGTAGGGATAACCTAACACTATCATTTTCTCAAATATAATTCAAAATTCAGGATTAAATAATTATAATAAAAATGATATTTCTCGAAGAGTAGTTTTGATAGTCACCAAGAGATACACAGAGATAGATAGGCATACATAAATAAAGATACAAAGTTATACATAGATTAAATATATATATATATATAGGAACAAGTAAAGGGAGGAGGAGGAGGAGGAGGAGGTGTTGCGAGCAGTAAACATGACCCAGATTCAAACTGGGAGGACGGTGGTGGCGCCCGAGTAAATGGGGAGGAGAAGTTGTTCGAGGGGAGTGTGCACTACATGACGATGAGTATATGTATGTGTGTGTGTGTGCGTGTGTTGGTTACGGGACATGGAAAGAGAAACGTAACGGGGTAGGGGTGATGGTGAGGGGTTGGGGTGAAAAGAGGGGAAATGAAGAGGGCGAGAACCAATAACCTAGCCTAATAGCGTGCACCGTGCAAGAGTCTCAAAGTGTTAGTAAGCTCGCAAAGGTCACCCCCGGAGGAGTCGAGTGCCGTCTCCTATTTATAGGAACCTCCCCTCTCAACCCCTCTCTCTCTCATCTACTTCAACCCAGGTTTTCCCTCTTCTCTCTCTCTCTCTCCCTCTCTCTTTCTATGTTTCTTTCTTTCTTTCTTTCTTTCTTTCTTCTTCTAACAGCACAAACCGTTCTCTTCCTTCTCGTCCCACTCGATTCCTCCCACGAAAAACTTTAGCATTCTATAAATAGACGACGACGACGACGACGACGACGACGACGACGACCACTACTACCATTCTCTTTCTTTCTCTTTCTCTTGTTCTTTCTTTTTATTCCCCTAACACTTTGAAGTAACAATACACACAACAAACACCCTCGTGACAAGGTAACAGCAGCAACCCTCCTCCTCTCTGACGTGACTGTTGTCATCTCCTTTTCCACGCTACCTACCTGTTAAGACACACCATCATCACCTTTTTTTACTTTTTTTTATTTGTA